CTGTCAAACCCTGTCCCACCCTGCCCTGCTCCGCCCTGCTCCGCCCAAGCCTGTTCCTCCTCACCCCGCCGCAGCTCGGCCCCGGCCCCGGCTGCTGCCCCGGCAGCGCCATCCGTGCCCGGCGCCGTGGAGCCCCGCCTGGCCTCGGCGCTGCTGCCGCCCTCTGGCAGCCGTGCCCTTGGGCGGCAGCGTGCGGCAAGGGCCCGGCCCGAGCCCTGCCGGGGCCAGGAGGCCGTGTGGCCACAGGGCTGGCAGCGCCGCTGGGCTGGCAGGGAGCTGTGCCGCTGGCGCCCTGACAGGCTCTGTGTTCTCAGGGATGGCCGGACGGCACCTCAGGGGCCACAAGCGACAGCTCCGCCACATCTGTCAGGGTCAGTGAGGCCAGCGGGCTGCCAGCCCCAGCTGCCGGGGGCAGCTGCAATCCCTGCCCCGCTGCCCAGGGCTCTGCTCCCTGTGCGCAGCAGGGCTGCCGTGGCCACAGCACACGCTCCCATTTCAGGCCCACGTGGGGCAATAGTGTCCGCTAGCTTCGGGCTCATCCCTTGCTCCCTGCTCCCTCCTGGCCATGGCCAGAGCCGGCTGGCATGGCCCTGCCTCGGGGGTCTCCTCGGCTCCCCAAAGATCCGGGATCTGACCGTGCCTCTGTTCCTCTCTCTCACAGCCCTTGAAGACAAGGCAGAGGATATCAGCCCTGCCACCAGAAGCCGGGCTCTCAAAACAGCCTTTGTCTTCCGGCCTGTGAAGAGAGCTCCGGGCTCCATCTTGCAGAAGCTGAGAGATCAACTTCGCAGGGCCCGCAAAAAACGGCCTTGTCCCTGGGGCCAGAGCTGGCTGTGCTGCTGGAGCTCTGAGGAGAGCTGATTTGAGAGGCTCTCAGTCTGCTGGGGCCTTCTGAGCTGGGGGGATTCTTCTTTTCTTTAAGATTGTTTTATTCCTTCTTTTTCGTTGTTCTTTAGGATATAAATGTAGAATGTGTTCTAATAGCCAGACTCCCAGGAGCTCTCTTTGGTGCCCAGGGTCCACAGGGCACAGGGGAAGAGGGGAAAAGGGGTCCTTGTGCCAAGCGAGCAGCCCAGGTGTGGAGTGGGGAAGGAGAAATGGCCAGAAGCCCCTTGGCCTTGGGTGGTTCTGCTGAAGCCTTTGTGCTGGCGACAGAGAGGCCGGGCAGGGGCCGGAGCTGCAGGGATCCCTGCTGGACTGGTGCCTGGAGATGGCCACAAGCCCTCCTGCCCAGCCAGGAAGGGCCATGTGTGTCCTCCTGCCCGTGTCTTGCTGGCTGCATTGCTGACGCCTCTGAGGTGCCTCTTGATGCGGCTCCTCTGGAGCTCCCTCGGGCCTGCGCCGCTGCCGGGCAGCTTGGCCGGGCTGGGGGAGATCCTGAGGGGACGATGGGGCACTGGGAGGCCGTGAAGGGATGAGGTGCTGCGGAGGCCCTGATGGGACAAGGAGCTGGGAAGGCACGAGGGCCCTGTGGGAGGGAGTGGCTGGCAGGAGGCTCCAAAGGGACAGGAGGCCCCTGAGGGGCCGGGCTGCTGGGAAGCCCTGAGGAATTGGGTGTCAGCCTTGTTCCTGACAGCCGGGTGCTTCCCCAGAGAGGCTCCCACGCCTGGGGCAGAAGCCCTGGTGGCTGGGCCTCAGCAGGAGGGTGGGGACCCCCCGAGGTGTCCAGACTGGCCTGGCTGGGGACAAGGAGGGCAAGGGGGCCCTGCCGGGGCACGGTCACTGCTTGCTGCCAGGGCAGTGGGCAGAGCAGGGCTGGCGGCCAGCCCAGGCCCCCGCGGCTGCCCAGGCCATGGTGCTGAGGATGAGGCCCTGCTGACACAGAGCTCTGGGCCCAAAGAGCTTCTGCCTCTGTGGCCAGGGCGGCGATGTCTCCTCAAGCAGGGCTGCTGAGTCGCTGCTGCCAAAGCAGCTCTGGACGCCACAGAAACAGCACCAGAGCGCGCACAGGAACAGCAGCAGCCCCAATGCCGGCACCTGCTCCAGGAGGCGTCTGCACCAGCCGCCATTCCAAAGGGGCCATACTCTGGGCACTATTGCGTGTGATTTAGTAAAAGGCTTCAACGCACCCGGCCACAATGGCTTTCCCTTGGCTTGCCAGCCTCACGGCAATGCTTGGCAGCTGCCGCTGCAGCCTGTGCCCCTGACTGACTACAGTGACTGTGCTTGAGGGCAGACTCGCCTTCCACTGGCAGGCGTCCCAAGGCAGCGGCATTGATGCCATCATGAGAGGGAAATGAGGCTGCACAGAAGCTGCCCTGTCTCTCCTTTTTGCAGGCACCTTAAAAACACCTGCATGAGCTTCCAGAGCAAATCCTGGACTGGTCTGGAACAAAGGAAGCAGCAGCAGGCGCTGAAGAAAGGCAGGCACTTGTGGCCAACATTCAGGTCTGAAGGGAAAAACTTTGGTGTCTGCTGAGGACATGGCTCGTTTCACAAGCTCAGGCCTTGCTGCTGGAAGATCCTGCTTTGCTCTTGCTGGAGCCCGTTCCCTACCAATGCAGGGGCTTCCATCGTTCCTGGATCAAGTCTGGTGGACCTGTGGGCAACAAGTCTGTCCCGTGTGCATCTGACAGCAGAAAAGAGCAGGACATGGCTGCTTCCAGCACTTGTCTTGGCCGTCCTTCAGGGGGCTGGCAGCATCATCAGAGACACAGAACAGCTTCTCCTGCCAGAGTTATCCCTATCCTCTGCACTTCCCCAGGTGTCTGTCTTGATGTTCACCGGGGACCTCCCTGTTTGTGGCTGTCCTTTGCCATGCTCAGCAGGCAGCCAGTTGTGTTTGCACATGAGCTGCCACAGGAAGACACACAGTAAGTGGAGCGTTGAATAGCAGAGGCTGGGCCAATTCTTTCTCTTTCTGAGTGCAAGAAAGACAGAAAAGCACACGGAAACATGACAGTGTTTTGGTGGAGTCTCTTTCTCCTGTGAAATTCTGTAGCTACTGGTCTTTCTGTGCTACTGCTAATTCCTTCCTTGAAAAGATCATTCCAGGACGGAGCAACATCATCTGACACGTACCAAGTGTTGCCACCAGTTGCTCCAGGTGCTCCTACCAAGAGCCCCTGTAGGATGGAGCCCAGGCCCCAGTGCACAAAGTCGGCTTTGGCTGCCCTCTGGCAGAGAAGCCCTCTGGAGGCACAAGTGTCTGGGGCAGGAGATGGGCACCAGCGCTGCCAGGGGCTCAGGGGGACTCTGCTTTGGCGGGGACTCTGCCACACCTGCTGATATCAGGGCTCCCTGGGCCCCAGGGCTCAGAGCAGCATTTGTGCCCTGGCACACATGCTCCTTGTCTCTGTCACACGGTCACACTTATCACCAGTGTCACTGAGTCCTGTTCAGACGATGTCTTTGCCTTTCAGAGTCACTTTGCATTGGCATGTGGGGCACTGATATGTAATACATTGTTTCCAAAATTTCTGCCGGACCCCTGTGGAACCAAACCCCCAGCCCTCTGTTCACCTATCAGGGGTGCAGATATAGGTGCTGTTGGGGAAAGGATTGTTATAAATATATATTATATTATTGGCTTTTTGCAAATATTAAGATGGATTCTATATGTATATTAGAGTAACTTTGCTATAAAAATATAGGAGTTTTTCTGTTCTTAACTAAACCTTGACATAGTAGAGAAATAGGTGATATAGGATGCTTGTGTTAAACTGCCTGCTTGGTTGGGATAACATTCAATGAACATATGATGGAGACCCCTGCTGCTGACATGCCAATTATCAGCACCCTCTGTCTATAGAAAAATGGACCAAAGGCCAAACAGGAGGTGATAATAGGGGGGGACTAAAACCACAGCCATGAAATGCACATGCTCTGAAAAGGTGGATCCGAGGAGGAGCCATGCTAAACAATTCTTGGAACATGTAAACTAGTTTGGGGAAAAGTTTAAATATGCATGATTGGGTATGACTATGCAGTAGACTGATGCAATCGAAAGGGTATGGAAAGGACATCTCTGAAATAGCAGGTGTGCTCTGGGCTGAAGGCCAAGCATCTGGATGAAAAAACTTGGCTATAGTCTCTTTGTCTCTTATTGTCCTTTATTCAACTTTTAAATTTTTACTGGAGACTGAACCTCATTTTTCACAGTGGGGATGTGTAAAATGGGGCTTGGGGTGCTCAAATGCCTCAAGAAAGCAACAAAAAAACCCAAGCACCACATTCCCCTCATGCCTGGGCTGCTGGTCCAGCAGCTCAAGTAGAAGAGTCCTCCAGGAGCTCAGGGAAGCAGGAGCCCACATGCTGAGGCACAGCCTGTGGAGAAAGGGGTCAGTGGCCCAAATGTGTGCTCTGGAAATCAGAGCTGGGTTCCTAAATCCCATTGGAAGTGTCTGTAATAGACCTGTGGTGGCTGAGGGATGTACGTGGGAAGGGTTTGGCAGTCTGGAAGTGGACTTGTTGGTGCTCTGAGCTCTGTTGTGTCTGGGAGCCTGTTCCTTTGCCCTTGCCCAAGGGCAGAGTGTTGGTGAGGGCTGGAGTTGGAGGTTGTGTCTGCCCCGAGAGGCGGTACCGTGGGGCTGCAGGTGCTCCTGCCAGCGTGGGCTTGTCTGAGCCGGGCCTTGTGCCTCTTTCAGGAGCTTGGATGGGAGTTGAGCCAGGGAGGGCCTCTCCAACAGCCCCTGGAATGCTGGGCTTTGGGCCCTGGCAGCCATCACAAAGGCCGTGGAACGTTGGGGGTATGACCCTGGCAAGTGTCACAAAGGCCATGGAATGCTGGGGGTTGGATCCTGGCAACAATCAACAGCTCCTGGCTATTGGGGTTTGGACCCTGGAGCTGTCAACAGCTCGTGAACTTTGGGGCTTGGACCTTGCAAAGGCCAACGGCACTTTGATTGGGTGCTGTTGACCCTGCAAAGGCCAAGAACCTTTGGAAATTGGTGTTTACACCCTGCAAAGGCCAAGGACCTTTGGATATCTGGGTGTAGACCCTGCAAAGGCCAAGGGCCTTTGGTCGCTGCTGTTTCCTCACTGCTGGTGCCAAGGGGCAGATGGAGACCCGGAGGGTGAGTGACAAAGCCGCTGCTCTCCTTGTGCCAAGCCCAGCAGCGACCTGGGTGGGCCTGGGCTGTGCCTCGGGGAACAGTTCCCTTTGGGATCTGCAAGGGATTAACTGTTGGCTGTTCCAGAGCTGGCAGCAGCTGGGGTGCTTGCCCTGGGGCCAGGCCTGGGAGGGAATGGGGGGCTCCTGGCTATCCCAGAGCGCAGCCACATCTCCTCCACTCTCCTTGTCCCACTGGAGGCCGTGGGCACAAACAAGGGAGCAGCTTTTCATTGCCTTCCCCTCACCCAAATTACAGCGCAGCCTCAGCGCTTCCCAGAGTCAAGAATGAGTTTCTCCCTGACATCTCCAAAATGATCCCCAGTAGCCCAGAGGAGGTCACAAGGATGATAGGAAGATGCTGCAAGGGCTGGAGCACCTGTGCCAAGGGAAAAGGATGCAAGAGTTGGGGTTGTCCTGACTAGAGAAGGTTCCAGGGTGACCTTAGAGTCCCTTCCAATGCATGAAAGGGCTGCAAGAGAGCAGGAGAGGGACTTAAGCCAGGGGCCTGCAGGGACAAGACAAGGCTTCCCAGCCAGACATGGCAAGGATGGATGGGATATTGGGAGGGGATTCTGCCCTCTGAGGGTGCTGAGGCCGTGGCACAGGTTGCCCAGAGAAGCTGTGGCTGCCCCTGGATCCCTGGGAATGTTCATGGCCAGGTTGGATTGGGCTCTGGGCAGCTCCCCTTCTGGTGTTCTTAGAAGTGATCAGACACCTTGCAGCATGTTGGTTTGCACTGCTCTCAAACTCCTGGGCTGAAAATATTGCCAAGAAGGGGAGGAGGAGCTCAGCTGGAAGTGCTGTGCTCTGGGACAGGCTGGGAAGCACTTAGAGGCAACTGCCTCAGGTGCAGCCATGCAGTCTGAGTGTGCTCTTCCCTGTGCACTTGCAGGGAGCTCGAGGGCTTTCTCACCAGAGACGTTCCTCTAGAGCGCCTCAGGTGAGTAAACTGTGCTGAGCTGGCTGGCCTTTTGAAACTGGTTCTCCATGAATGGACACTGGTTCTTGTGGGATCAGAGGAGGCATCTCAGTGCTACTTTGGAACAGGAACAGAATACCTGACTAACAGCTGGATGTGGCCTTTCAGGTGCTGGTAGACGGCGGTGACAGCATGGCCAATTCCATCATCTGCACCGACAATCCTGGGAACATCCTCTCAACTCTGACATCCACTGATGAACAGCATCCCTTTGAATTGGCTCGGGAAGCTACAGAGAATTGTGAGCGCATGTGGCAACAGTTTGATCAAGTAGAGGAGAGAACCCAGAGGATCAGAAGCCAATACCAGCTCATAGACTCTCTGCTAGAAGAAATCAGAAGGTGAGCATTTCCTCCTCCTCCTCCTCCTCCTGCATTCCAGAGGCAATCTGCTTCCAGGTCTGGGAGATCAGAGGTGTCCTGGGTGAAGAAATCACCTGCCTACCATGTGTAGGCCTCAGTGTGGCTCTCGAGCATTGTCCTGTCTGGGTTTTTCATGCTCTACTGGGACTCCCAAGGCTGTCTGCAAGATGCAGAGACACGTTGGAATAGAAGACTCCTTCTTCTCGCCGTGCTGCTTCCTTGAATTCTGTTCTTTGTGTGCCCCTGCCCAGCCACTGCTTGTCACTGAAGGAAGGCAAAATCCTGCCTTCCTTTCCCTTTGCCTCTGGAGGATTTCCTTGGGAGGGAAAGAGCAAGGTCTTCCTTAGCCCACTGCCCCCAGCTCCATCCTGGAGTGCTGAAAATGGCATTGCTGACTCTACAGGCCTCTTGCTTCTTCTGACTGGGCCTTGTCTCCGCAGTGACTGTGCAAAGTTTGAGAAGTCCAAGGAAATGCTGCTGCAACGCACTGGAATCCCGGAGACAGCAGCCTTATGTCTGCAGCAGCAGAACACCAAGCAGCAGAAGGAAGCATCAGCCCAGGCAGAAGAGGCAGAGCAGCAGGACTGGATGGAGGTTGGTTTTGGAAATGAGATGGTTTTCCCTTGAAAACTCGTCTTGCCCCTTCTTGTACAGTGGAGGACTTGGCTGCACTCGAGGGAGAAGGGCCATCCTTGCAGAGGCAGCTGGAAGTCAAGAGGCAGACTTTGGAGGAATTGCAGCTTCAGAGGGATGTGCTGGAGCAAGGGAGGGATGATGGTAGCAGGGCTCTGAACACCTTATTGCTAGGCAGCACCTGTGGCAGTGGGAGTTGTGGCAGCCAGATCAGCCACATGCTCTTTCTGGCACTAGAAGACAGGCACACTGCTGTGCACACCTGGCTCAAGAGGGCACACGCATTTCTTAGCCAGGGATATGCAAGTTCATCCCCAAAGTGTGGCATGCTTCTGCAAAATGTGTTGCTTTGGGCAGCCACAGAGCCTCTAAAAGAGGGAAGGGAGCTGGGGAAACTTTGAGGCCAGAGCACAGGTGCTCCTTGTCCTCTGGCTGCCTGTGAGGTGGCACTGGCTGGCTCTGCACAGGGCTCCCGAGGAAGGGCTCCAGCTGTACCTTGTCCCACTTGCAGGTTTCCCAGGAGCAAGAGTCATCGAGCTGGTGTCTGGAGCAGCTGAGCCAGGAATCCTCTGGCCAAGGACATGAAGTGGCCCAGGTGTGGCGAGAGGAGGAGCTGCTGGCCCAGAAGGCTGACCTTGAGGGCCGACTGGCAGCCAGCGAGGGGCTCCGACAAGACCTTGCCAGGCAGCTGGAGGAGACCAGGTAAAGGCAGGGAGTTGAAACTTTTCAGATGATTTTACATTCAGTGTACACAATAAGGAAGTCTCAAGGAAAAAAAAAAAAAAAAAGCCACCATGTGAGGGTCATTTTTCTGGCACCAAAAGCCAGCAAAGCTCTCGTGAGCATTGGGCTCCTGTTTGTGCCACCGAGCACACTCCTGTGGGATGTCAAAAGCAATCCAGCCAGCCCTGAACTGAGGAGTAGTTAAACCATGCAGATGCTGAGTGAAACCTCAAGTTTCTCTTGGGTTTGCTTCCTCCTTCTGGGCATTGAACATCCCTCATTCCTTTCTGAGTCGCTTGACATGATCCTGACCTTCAGACCAGGAAGCTTCATCTTCAGCATTCCAGGCTCTTACCTTGGCACGTTGGGAATAGCACGCTGCCATTCAGGGTGAAGCCAGAGGCTCCTGCTGACCATCTTGAGGCATTTCTGCTTCCAAGCACACCCTTGAGAAGTGTGGGACAGGATGTAGAGCTGGTTAGAGAGTAGCAGGGAAAGCTCTCTGGAATTCTCAACAGCCTCTGGACATTCTTGCTGATGGTTGATGGGCACCCAGCTGCCAAACCTGCCAAGGTTCCTTTGGATGGTCCCTCTCACTGTGCAAGGAAGGACAAGTCCCTTGGGCTACTGCCTGCTTGTTCAGCAACACTCAAATAAAGGCAGCAAGTCTACTCCTGGACCTTGCAAGAGTTGAAACTGCAGTCTCTGCATTCAGGTAGTTGCAATTTGGACAAAAGTCTGTTCTGATTATTTACAAGTGCTGCCATGACCATGAGATTTTACTGTATCTGCAAAGTAGTTCTGAAGCCTCGTTAAATACCGGGTGTCTGGAAGATGATGTACCTTTATGTCCATTATCAAGAGCATTAAAACGTCAGGAGTCAGCCAGGACAAGAGTCTGTTCTGTCCCCCTGCAGAGCAGCTTGGAATTGCTGATGAGAGAAGGGCTGTGAGCAGGGGCTGAGCTTTTGCTTGTTGCTGCAGCCTGTTTGGGCACAGCTACCCAGAGTCATAGGTCAGGAGCAGCAAGTGAAGGTTTGGCTGTTGAGGCCAAGTTGGGCTGGGCTTTCTGTGCTATGGCAGGCCATAAGGAAGGCCTGGGCAGTCCCTCAGAGGCCCTGCTCTGCTCTGGAAATGGCCCAGATGTGCCTTCTCTGGACGAGTTTCCAGCTGACCCATTTTCCATCCTCAGGCGTGGGGATCTTGAGCGACGTTGTCCTGGAATTACCGGCTGTGGGTGTCTGGAGCAAGCAACTCATGTCTGTCCATCTTTGCAACTTGTAGGTCAGCAAAGGAGAGCCTGCAATCCAGACTGTTTGCTGCTCAGCTGCAGATGGCTCAGCTGCAGATGACCTGGAAGCGTGTGGAGGCAGAGCTGCAAGGGGAGCTGCAGGGAGCTCGCAGAGAAGCCCAGGCAGCTCAGAGGAGGCACAAGGATGAGCTACAAGACTTCAAAGAGGAAAGGGATCTCCTCCTTGAGCAGAGGGAGGCTCTACAAAAGCAGGTGAGTGAAAGGGCAGTGGCACTGCAGTCATGCAGCGAGGGGTCTGTGGCCTTCTTGCTTTTCCATGGCAGAGCAGCAGCTGCTGGGGTGAGCCCTGGGGCTGTCTCGTGCTCTGGGGGCTGCATGGCAGCTGCTCTGAAGGACACTCAGTGCTCTGCTGAATGTCAGCTGCTGCTCTGGACAGCTGGGCTAGTCCTCTGTGCTGCTGGCCAGCAAGCAGCAGCATGGATTCCTGCTGGCCTCTTCTTGCTAGCCTTGCTTTGGCAGGTGCTTTCTCAGGTGCCCTTGCGGGTGGGCCACTTAGAGACTGAAACAAGTTGTCCAGATCCTTTGTGAATCTGGTGCTCTCAGGACAGGGAGGAGTGGAAAGTTGTCCTTTACCTTTGCTCACAACCTGTGCTGTGGCTGAGTGTGAGAAGCTGTGGCTGTAGCTTCTGACTGCTTTGTTCTGTTTGACTGGAGGTGGCAGAGTTGACATCTCAGCTGGCAGCCTCCCGAGAGTGCCCGGAAAGGACTGCACAGAGAGCCCAGCAAGAGGGGAGGGAGGCCCAGGAAGAGTCCAGACAGAAACTGTTGGAGATTGAGCAGATCCAGAAGATGCTGGAGGAGGCAAAACATCAGAACAAGGAGCTGCAAGTGCATCTGGACTATCTGGAGAGGGGATGGATTCAACGTGAAGAAATGGCTCAGCAAAATTCAGAATTACAGGCTTCCGTCAATGCCCTAGAGAGGGAAAAAGCCAGGTAAATGAAAGCCTTGGGGTCTCTGCAATGTGGTGAAATGGATTCCCTCTTTGCCATCTTTGCACCTGCCAGGGGCTCTGGCAGCAGTTCCTAAGTGGCAGATTCTGAACTCTCCATGCAGACAGATCTCATTGTCTGGATGTTGTGTTTCATTTTCTTTTCTTTTAAGCCTTCAGACAGAGTTTTTCTGAAGATAAAGGCTTTGGGGGTAGCCCTTTCCCTCTAGGTGTTATTGTGTTGTTAGGTGGGTGTGTTGACACTGCCCGAGGTGCACTGTAAGGAGCTGGAAACATCCATCAGCTTCACCTTGGGGCCTGTAACTTGAAGCCTTTGGGGTCTGGATCAGCCTGGCATCTGATGCTTTTTCTGGGCAGAACCATCTTAAGGCCCTGAGTGCTGCTCTAGGCCAGCTTGGCCTTGGAGGCAGCCCAGAAACAAGAATGTCTCTGTTGCATGGTTCCTCATCAAATGTCCCCCACTGCCTGCAGGGGGTCAAGCAGGGTCCCTGCCACCCTGCACAGTCACAGGCATTTCTGACTGTGCAAAGAATGCAAGAAACAGGACCAAGCTATGGGGGGGCTCCTGCAGCCAATCAAGTCCTGCCAGGCTTCAGTGCCACAGGATTCTTCCTCCAAGAAGAAGACAAAGCAAAGGCAGGGCACTCCTGCTTGCCTGGAGCCTTCTGCATCTTCCATCAGGTTGTGCTCCAAGCCTCAGTTGCCACTTTGGCCTTTGTTTCTCCAGTTGAATGTAGGATGGGTGCTGGTAAATCTTTGGGAACTTGCCAGAGATTCCCTGGCTCTAGGGTGCTGCTCCTCCTCCTACCTGGATGTGTAAGATGGGGGAAGGAAATGTCTCTTCCATGCTGACCAAACCTCCCTGCTTTGGAGCCTGGTTAGTCAGAGGAAAATTGTTCCTCTCCCCTAATGTCTTCATTGCAAGACTTTGTTAGGTTTGTATTCACATTCCCATCTCAGAAAGAAGGTAGGGCATGGAGGCAGGAACTCGCTGTTCTTTCTGAGACAAAAGCAGAGCAGGCACATGCTGGGCTGGGACTGCAGGGGGAACAAACAGCCAAGTTGTTGAGAGAAACCTCATCAGGCAGAGCAGTTTTTCCCTGAGGTGGTGCAAGTCCTGAGAGTTGCTAAAATGTGCTATTCTTTACTAATGAGTTACTTGCTTCCCTTCTAGGCTGATTCTGTCTCTGGAGGAAAAGGATGTGTGCCTCAGAACGCTGGAAGAACAGAACCTGGCACTGAACAATCAGGTGTCTCAGTGTCAATCTGCTCTTCAGCAGGCCAAACAGCTCTCCTCAAACCGCGCTGGACAACTGCGGGAGCTCAAAACACAGGTAAGCTGTGCAGTGGCATCCTCTTCTCCAGGGACACACAACAGCACCTTTGCCTTGGAGGCCCCAGCCTCTTGCCCCTGCCAGCAGCATCCACAGCTGTCGTGTTCTGCCCGGGGCTGCTGCTGCACCCTGAGGCTGAGCCTGGATCTGGTGTCTGCTGCAGAAGTTTTCCTGCATCCTCTCCCGGGTCCCAGCAGGAAATGTGGGAGGAGAAGCAGCAGCAGACTCCTCTGGAGCTTCTCTGTCCCTCTGTTGGCAGTGTTGTCGCAGACAGAGTTGGTGCCTGTGCCAGGCACTGAGCAATGTGGGGACACAGAGGTGGCTGTGGTAGGCTGGGCAGGGCACTTCCAGCACAGCCAGTTCAGCCGCTGTTCAGAGCTGCAGCCCAAGGATGCCCATTGCCTCCCTTTCCCTGTTTTCTCTCCATTTGCCTCCATTGCAATCCTTGCTTCTGTGCCTTCTGGTTTTGCTTGAAGTAATTTCTTCTTTGTTGCTCTCCCTGCGGCCCACTCTGCTGCCTCAGGAGCAGCCCTGTCCCTGAGGCTCTGTGCATCCATCTTCCAGATCCGGGCCCTGCAGGACGCAGTGCTGCAGATGGAGGCTTCCCAGGCAACTCAACAGAAGCAGCTGCTGAAGGAGCTGGAGGAGTCTCGAGCAGGAGAACGCTCTTTGAGGGACTCTGTGCACGTGCTGCAGGCTGAGGTGTCTGAGCTGCGTGTGAGGCTCCAGAGCTCTGATGACAAAGCTCTTGCCTTGGCCCTACAGTGTGAGGCTGTGGAGCTGGAGCTGAGGAAGACACAAGCTCAGAGAGACAACCTCAGAGCCCGCAACCTGGAGCTGCAGAAGGAGTTGGAGGAAATTGAACAAGGTACAGCTTCTCCTCTGCCACTCACTGCCCCATGCTGTCTCACCAGCTGAGGAGCTGTAGCTGGATGCCTCAGCTCCATTCCCCCAAACTCCAGGCCCTGCCAGAGCCTCCAGGCTATTGGCCTCTCTGGAGCAGGGCTGTACAGGCATCCCCTGTGCTTTGTCTCTCTTGAGTTGCTCACTCTGCACAAGGCCAAGAACAAACATACTCTCCTATCCCTCTGAACCTTGCCCCTTTCATTCCTGCCTTTTTCTGTGCCTGGAAGTTTCCTTCATTTCTGTCAGCTTTGGAGCCTTTGTGGGCTTAGGCCTGGCAACCACAGGCAGGTAGAGAAGACAGTGCTCTTGTTTCTGCAGGATGCACATCAGTTTGCCCTTGCTTTGCTTTTCCCCTTCCCATTTTCCCTTTCCTTTGCCCTCCCCTGCTGCAGATTGCGTGGAGGCAGAAGCCAAGCACATCTGTCTCCAAATCGCCCTGGAGAAAGAGGCCACTGAAAGGCAGGAAGAGGCTGTGGCTCTTCGACAGGAAGTGGCATCTCTGAAGAGGAAATTGGAAAAGCTGGAGAAGGAAAGGAAGGATGTGCTGGTGAGATTGGCAGTAGCCACAAAGGGCCATTTCCTAGCTATGTGTTTGGGCCTTGTGTTCATAGTTCTAAGGAGCAGCTTTTCCCAGTTTAACTTTTGTAATTGCATTCTTCTGAATAAGGAGGAGAAGATGTTGTAGTCATGGCAAAGCCAGTTAATGCTGAGGCTGCTGATTTTCCTCCATGCTGGGCTTCTGTGCCCTAGAAATGTCTTTACTTCTCAAGGTCCTCAGTGTCCCTCTTGACATTGCATGGTTTGGGGAATTCCTGGTGTCCAAACCCATGTTCAGATTTCTAAATATCGTGATCTGGAAGGACAGGGGAGAGTCCCAAGTTTGCTGTTAATAGAAAGGTGTTTGGCCTTGGCCATGGGAGAGCAGCCAGTGGGGAGAGAGGAGAGGAAAGCCAAGTGCTGATCCCCAGCAGGACGTGTGCCTGCAAGGGGAGAACTGGTCCTGAGTGGCAGCAGAGAATGACAGACTGATCTGGCCATTGCTGCTCCCAGAGAGGGCAGTGGGGCTCTGGGGCATGGAGCCATGGGAACTCTACACAGGAGAGGTGGAAAAGCACTGCTGTCAGCCCAGCCCCAGGGAATGAAAGGCTGCGGCTGTTTGCTCTTCCCTTCCTCCCTGATGGAGAGCACATCCTCGTGGCACTGCCTGAATCCCGCTTAGCGGGCACTTGAAATCCTGGCTGCAGTTCTGGCAGCTCCTTCCCAAAGGAGCCCTGGAGTGGAGCTGCAGGAGGTCAGGCAAGGGCAGAAGGGAAGCTGGGATGGGCTGAGTGAGCTGGGAAAGATGCAGCATCAAGCGGGGCCCAGCAAAGCTCTGCAGCATCCTGAGAGGCTGAGAGAGAGGGGCAGCCTGTGCCTGCCCCTGCAGCAGGAGTGCAGATCTGGTATGAAAAGCAAAGTGAGGGAGGGAATCAGGGAGCCTTTTTCTCCCTGTTTTGGCAGCATGAACGGGAATAGTACCAGCAGCAGATGATATATTTGGAGAAGAAGAATGAATTGCATGCACTCAACATGCAAAGTCAGTAGGGATGATTGCAACCCTTGGACAGTAAGAAGGAAACCAAGCAGGAAGAGTTGAAGCATGGGGCTGCTGCTTTGAAAGATGGAAGAGGGAGCACTCTGAGTTCTGCACTGACCAAAGGTAAAATTGCCACAGGGGCTCCGCAGAAACGCTAGGACTTCCTCAAGGAATAGACTTGTATCCAGGCAGGCACTGGCATTGATCTTCAGGAGGAGAAGAGAAAGAGGCCTGAATTATCCACCGTGCGCGGAGAAGTGGTGAGCAGGGAAACTGGGCTTTGGCTGCCTCTGCAGAGCATCAGGCTCCTCTGGAACTCTGCACCTTAGCTCAGGCAGTGCTTTGGAGACCTCTGCTTGTTGCCTTGCCTCTCCCTGTCCCTGCTGTGGCACACCCCTTTGTTTGTTCTCTCTCTTGTGGCAGCCCATGGCTTTCACAAGGGCACCTTCACTGTGCTGCCTCCCTCCCTGGCCCCGTGTCCCTGCACACACACACTGGCCTCTCTTGCACAGCCTCCAGCGAGAGCTTTTTGCCCCCAGTGTTGTCTGGTGCACTTCAGGGTCTCAGAGCAGGGATCTCCTTGCCTTGATGTCCAGAGGTCCTTTTGCTCCATGTTTGCTGACAGGTTTCTGTGACCCTCTCTCCCATCCAATGTGCAGGTAAACCCTGAAAGGAGAAGAATCAGAACTTTTAGGAGAGTGTTCCCCCCAGACTACTTTACCTTGCCTGTCCCCATATCTGCCCATCAGTATCTGTCAACTTTTGAAATAGAAGAGTCCTCCAGTATCTCAGAGGAGCAGCAGCCCTCGTGCTGAGGCACAGCCTGTGGAGAAAGGGGTCAGTGGCCCAAATGTGTGCTTTGGAAATCAGAGCTGGGTTCCTAAATCCCTCTGGAAGTCTTTGTAATAGACCTGTGGTGGCTGAGGGATGCACGTGGGAATGGATTGGCAGCCTTGAAGTGGACTTGTTGGTGCTCTGAGCTCTGTTGTGTCTGGGAGCCTGTTCCTTTGCCCTTGCCCAAGGGCAGAGTGTTGGTGAGGGCTGGAGTTGGAGGCTGTGTCTGCCCCGAGAGGCGGTACCGTGGGGCTGCAGGTGCTCCTGCCAGCGTGGGCTTGTCTGAGCCGGGCCTTGTGCCTCTTTCAGGTGGCCCTGCTGCAGTCACAGCTGGCCCAAGAGCGACAGCACCACCTGGAGAGCTGTGCAGGGAGCAGGCAGGAGACACAAGGTGCAGAAGGGACCTCCTTGCTTCCTGAACGTCTCAGAGAGGAGCCAGGCTGCAGCTGGATGCACTCTTAGACTTAGTCAGTAGTTTATGTTAGAAGGATAGTATAGGTGTAATTGAACTTTATACAATTGTGTTCCATAGGATAAAGGATATATTTATAGGAAAATAAAGAGTTTATTATGATCATGATTAAACTAAAAGATCTTTATCAGGGTTATTTACTCCCCAGTGCAGAGACTGATAACTTCCAGTATAGTGCATTATATCTGAAGTAGCATTGAAGCAATCCCAGTCCAGCCAGCAAAAACCAAGTCTTAATTAAAGATTGATGCTACTCACCCAAACCAATGACCATAGGCAAACATTTCTCTCAGCCTCAAGGCGTGACCTTGAGGAGCATCCTGACTCCAGGGAGGAATCTGCAGAAGGCAGACATGTGCCATGAACCACTTTGGTGAGGGCAGGAGAAACCTGCCATGTGTGGAGCTTTTTCATTTGTCCTCAGGAAGCTGCAGCCTGTTTGTTCTCAGAGTCACAGAATCTCAGGCTGGGGGAGGCTGGAGGCACCTCTGGAGGTCACCTGGCCCAGCCCCTGCTCCATCAGGGCCACCCAGAGCCGGCTGCCCAGGATGTGTCCAGGTGGCTTTTGAGTCTCTGCAGGGATGGAGACTCCCCCAGCTCCCTGGGCACCTGCGGCAGTGCTCGGCCACCCTCCCAGTGCAGAAGTGTCTCCTGAGCTCAGAGGGCCCCTCCTGTGGGTCACTTTGTGCCCGAGGCCCCCGGGGCTGTCCCTGGCCCTGTCCCCCCCTTCAGCCTCCCCCTGGCTTTTCATCCACAGGGATGAGATGCCCTGAGCCTGCTCTGCTCCAGGCTGGGCAGGGCCAGCTCTCTCAGCCTCTGCTCATGGCAGAGACGCTCCAGTCCCTCCATCAGCTTCATGGCCCTGTGCTGGACTCTGTCCAGTCTGTCCCTGTGTCCCGTCCTGGGCAGCCCAGCTCTGGGCCCAGCACTCCAGGGCTGGCCTCACTGGTGTGGAGCAGAGGGAAAGGATCCCCTCCCTCTGCCAGCTGTGACACAGCTCCCAGTGCAGCCCAGGACGCTGTTCTGCATTGCTGCAGGAGCACATTGCTGGCCCATGGGCATCCTGGTGTCCAGCAGAACCCGGACAAACTTCAGTTTTCCAACTGGGTGGCCCCCAGCAGTCACCGCTGCCTGTGGTTGTTCCTTGCCAAGGACAGGACTCAGCACTTGTCATTGGACTGTCCCCCTTGCTGAACTGTCCCTCTGCATGGCAGCACTTGTCTCTGGCAGATCAGCCACTGCTCCTGGTTTGTGGGAAGGCACAGCCTGGCCCCCTCACCCAGTTTACTGACAAAGGACTCAGGAAGGACTGGGCTCAGCATTGTCCTTCCAGGGTCCACTCTGTGCCACTGATCACCAGGGATCCAAGAAGGTAGAGTCTGCACAAGGCATCTTGGCTTGTATGTACTTATTCAGAAAGATTTGGCAGGATTTACAACAGAGATTTCTGCTCCATATCTTATGTGGGAAAAAATGGAATGATCCATGCTCCCTCTCACTGGTGGTGGGTAAAGTGGTCCTTTTGTTGGTGGCAGTGGATGTCACCTGCACGGGAACTGTGCCAGACTGGTGTGACATACTGTGGGAAGGAGCACTCTGAGGCAGGTAAAAGCTGGGCTGTAGAGATCATTCAAAGACTATTCTTCGAGCCATGGAAGCCCCTGTTTTGTGAAGATCAGGAACAATTCCTTGGCAAGGGCTGAAGCTGCATATCTGTGAGTTCCTTTACCTCCTAGGTGAATTTCTCCATTAACGATAGCAGATTGTCCTGGTTGAAAGGACAGATGTCTTCCAAGGAAGCTGGGAATCTTCCTGGAATGGAGAGATAGCCCCCTCCCTCCAAATCATTATAACTTGAAATTGCAGGGCTTCCAGGCAAAGATATGGGAAGAGAAATATCACTTCTTCACTAGAATATACATATATATATATAGATATAGATATATATATATATATATAGGTGAGGAAGAGAGAAGAAGCAGCAGCGCCCCCAAAGCAATGCCAGACTCTTCCCACCCGTTGAGCAGTTCTGCCTTTGCTGTAGTTCTGACCACAGCCGGCAGAGGGCGCTGTGAGCTGAGGCCAGGCAGAGTGGCTGCAGTGACTCTGCCCTGGCTCCAGGGGGCGCTGTCGGCCCAGGCGGCTTCAGGGGCCACGGCTGCGAGCCCTGAGCCAGCCCAGGGGTTAACGACAGCCTCGGGGACACAGGGAAGCTGGGGCTCTGCTTTTCCCAGCTTCTCACCTGGCTCTTGCAGTATCCTGGCCATGCCAGCTCTGCTCTGGTTCCAGCCAAGCAGCCCCTGGGGCTCCCTCTCTCCAGAGAGAGAGAATAGGTGGGGTGGTCCCGTTTCCCCCCAAGCACCCACGCAGATGGTGAGGATCTTCCTTGGTGATGGCGAGTGTGGAAAAGTCCCCGTCAACCAGCAGCTGCAGCAACCAATGGGCTCACCTATGGATGGCAAGGAGAATTCTGAAGCAGTGCTGGGACCAGCACAAGAGCTGCCCAAAGTGCCCTGCTCCTAGCGTGGCCAGCTGGTTCTTCCCTTGGCAAGCCAGTGCCCAACCCTACCCTCCCTCCCTGGAAGCTTCCAGTGGAATGGGAGAGTCATTTGCCAGTTCTTTTGAATCTTAGTTGCCCCATTGGCATAAACTGCCCTCTCCTCGCCACATATCCCGTTTCAGGTAACTATGGGTATACCCCTCATTGGGCCCTAGGGGCTGCCATGATGAGGGAAAACCTACTTTAAAAGTTCTATGCCAGGATTGAGAGATGCACGGGACTTTTTTTGGTCTTCAGGTTGCTGTTACTTTTATCTGAAACTTGGCATGCTGTCTGCCGCAGACTTAGGACGCCAGAAAGTTCAGCAAAAATGGTCACAAGATGTACTGTTTCAAGGTCTTTTAAAGCTGTTTTAGCCAATTAACTCTTAAAATGTACTTTATTTCTACCTTTCTACCAATAACTCATCCTTTGTCTGTCCACGTAACCTCTGCACTGCGGCTTCCCATGGCAAATCACACCCTCTGCCACCAACACTGCAGAAAATGGAATAGATGAAGAAGAAGCTCGAGACAACATCTAAAATCCTCCATCTTGCTTCCTATCTACCTCCTTACTAAAATCCCAAAACTCTAAATTTCTCACCCTGTGACAAACTACATTATTCTCTATTCTCTATTTCACACACTTCTGGACTCCAATCCATCCCAAGTCTTGGAAGCCTTCTGCATGGGCAGAGGTTAAAAGCAGTGCTTCCCTGGGGGCCAGGACCCCTCAGGGCAGGCAGAGAAATACTCCCTGTGCCCTGGGTTCCAACAGGTAACGAATGGCAGAAAATTCACCAATTGCCCCCCACAAACAAACAAAAACCCTGAATTTTTCCCCATACCAACATGTTGCATTAAACTTTGACTTTTAAACTATATATATCCATGTATTATCCTAATTATATACATACATACATACATGCAGATATGGATACAGGCACAGTGTCTTGGGCAATCCACCACAGAAACAAGGTCCCCTGGAGATGTCCATTGTGTTGATCCACCTTTCTGCATCACCCACCAAGTCCAATCCAGTCCCTGAGCAAAGACAACCCCACAGGTGGGTTTGTCTTTGCTCGAGGCAGAATTAATCCCAACAGTCTTTCCTAGCACACCTCTCATGTGCACCACCAGAACTTTGTCCCCACCCTCTGTGCACAGGGCTTCGCATTGGGCATGGCCAGCTTGGTTGGTGGAATCTCTGCTATTAACTAACCATGCAGCCTTTGCCAAATGCAGCTCCCACTGCTTGAGGGTCCCATCCCCCCATTGCCTTCAATGTGTTTGTGAAGAGTTCATTGCACTGCTGACCTTTCCTGGCCGCTGGTGCACGGTATGGAATGTGATATACCCACTCAGTGCCAGGTTCTCTAGCCCAGGTATTGATAAGGATGTCCTTGAAATGAGTCCCTTTGTTGGACTCAATTCTCTCACAGGTACCGTGCCTCCAAAGGACCTGCTTTTCAAGGCCCAGCATGGTGTTCTGGGCAGTGCCATGGAGGCACAGGGTAGGTCTCCAACCTTCCAGTGGTGGCTTCTACCATTGGGAGCATGTAGCACTTGCCTTGGCGGGCTTGAGGCAGCGTGATGTAGTCAATCTGCCAGGCCTTGCCATATTCTGTTTGAACCATGGCCCCCATACCAGGGGGGCTTCATCTGCTTAGCTTGCTTGATGGCAGCTCACGTCTCACAATCATGGATAACCCAGGAGATGCTGCCCATGGTTACATCCAGCCCTGGCTCTCGTGCCCACCTAGAGGTGGCATCTCAGCCCCAATGGCCTGAGGCACCATGGGCCCATCGAGCTGGGAACAACTGTCCCTTGTGTTGCCAATCCAAACCTATCTGTAACACCTCGATTTTTGCAGCCTGATGCACCTCTTCATTCTTTCAGTGCTCCTCATTAGCTCAACTCTGGGGCACGTGGGCATCCACATGACAGACTTTCACAGGCAGCTTCTCTACCCGCCTGGCAATGTCTTGCCATTCGTCTGCAGCCCAGATTGCTTTTCCCCTATGCTGCCAATTGGCCTTTTTCCACCTTTCCAGCCAGGAAAGGCCTCCACAGAGCATTGTCTGGCATCCATGAGTCAGTGTAGAGAGACAGTGCTGGCCTCTTCTCTCCCTCAGCAATGTCCAGGGCCAAATGGAAGGCTTTGAGTTCAGCAAGTTGGCTCCATCCACCCTCTCCTTCAGTAGCTTCTGCAACCTGTCCCATGGGGCTCCATTCAGCCGCATTGCACTTTCAGTTTGTCCTTCCAATGCGACAGGAGCTGTCAGTGAAAAGAGCACAGCGTGTTTCACCTTGTGGCGGTTGGTTCTAAGGTGGAGCTTCCTCAGCACACGACACCTGTTCCTGCCCCTCTTCTTCCAGTAGATCAAAGTTGTCACCTTCAGGCCAATTCATAATTATCTCCAAGACCCAACAGCAGTTTGTGTATCCAATACTGGAGTACTGTGTGATGAGGGCAATCCATTTGCACCTGTGCCATGTGTTGCTGTACCTGGACAGCCACAGGAGTCCCTGTGGCAGGCAGCCATCAGGTTCATCTATGAGCCACAAGCCTGGGCTTCCCCTACCCCAACCTACCCCACCCTGCCCCACCTGCCTCTGCCCCACCCTGCCCAACCCAACCCCTCCCTGCTGCACCCAGCTCCACCCAACCCTGGCCTGCCACACCAAACCCCACTCCTCCCTTCCCTACCCCACCTTGTCCCACCCCATCCCAGCCCCACTCCGGCCCATCCCAGGCCTGCCCTACCATGCCCCACTCTGCCTCCCCCAGCCGTGCCCTGCCCTGTCAAACCCTGTCCCACCCTGCCCTGCTCCGCCCTGCTCCGCCCAAGCCTGTTCCTCCTCACCCCGCCGCAGCTCGGCCCCCGCCCCGGCTGCTGCCCCGGCAGCGCCATCCGTGCCCGGCGCCGTGGAGCCCCGCCTGGCCTCGGCGCTGCTGCCGCCCTCTGGCAGCCGTGCCCTTGGGCGGCAGCGTGCGGCAAGGGCCCGGCCCGAGCCCTGCCGGGGCCAGGAGGCCGTGTGGCCACAGGGCTGGCAGCGCCGCTGGGCTGGCAGGGAGCTGTGCCGCTGGCGCCCTGACAGGCTCTGTGTTCTCAGGGATGGCCGGACGGCACCTCAGGGGCCACAAGCGACAGCTCCGCCACATCTGTCAGGGTCAGTGAGGCCAGCGGGCTGCCAGCCCCAGCTGCCGGGGGCAGCTGCAATCCCTGCCCCGCTGCCCAGGGCTCTGCTCCCTGTGCGCAGCAGGGCTGCCGTGGCCACAGCACACGCTCCCATTTCAGGCCCACGTGGGGCAATAGTGTCCGCTAGCTTCGGGCTCATCCCTTGCTCCCTGCTCCCTCCTGGCCATGGCCAGAGCCGGCTGGCATGGCCCTGCCTCGGGGGTCTCCTCGGCTCCCCAAAGATCCGGGATCTGACCGTGCCTCTGTTCCTCTCTCTCACAGCCCTTGAAGACAAGGCAGAGGATATCAGCCCTGCCACCAGAAGCCGGGCTCTCAAAACAGCCTTTGTCTTCCGGCCTGTGAAGAGAGCTCCGGGCTCCATCTTGCAGAAGCTGAGAGATCAACTTCGCAGGGCCCGCAAAAAACGGCCTTGTCCCTGGGGCCAGAGCTGGCTGTGCTGCTGGAGCTCTGAGGAGAGCTGATTTGAGAGGCTCTCAGTCTGCTGGGGCCTTCTGAGCTGGGGGGATTCTTCTTTTCTTTAAGATTGTTTTATTCCTTCTTTTTCGTTGTTCTTTAGGATATAAATGTAGAATGTGTTCTAATAGCCAGACTCCCAGGAGCTCTCTTTGGTGCCCAGGGTCCACAGGGCACAGGGGAAGAGGGGAAAAGGGGTCCTTGTGCCAAGCGAGCAGCCCAGGTGTGGAGTGGGGAAGGAGAAATGGCCAGAAGCCCCTTGGCCTTGGGTGGTTCTGCTGAAGCCTTTGTGCTGGCGACAGAGAGGCCGGGCAGGGGCCGGAGCTGCAGGGATCCCTGCTGGACTGGTGCCTGGAGATGGCCACAAGCCCTCCTGCCCAGCCAGGAAGGGCCATGTGTGTCCTCCTGCCCGTGTCTTGCTGGCTGCATTGCTGACGCCTCTGAGGTGCCTCTTGATGCGGCTCCTCTGGAGCTCCCTCGGGCCTGCGCCGCTGCCGGGCAGCTTGGCCGGGCTGGGGGAGATCCTGAGGGGACGATGGGGCACTGGGAGGCCGTGAAGGGATGAGGTGCTGCGGAGGCCCTGATGGGACAAGGAGCTGGGAAGGCACGAGGGCCCTGTGGGAGGGAGTGGCTGGCAGGAGGCTCCAAAGGGACAGGAGGCCCCTGAGGGGCCGGGCTGCTGGGAAGCCCTGAGGAATTGGGTGTCAGCCTTGTTCCTGACAGCCGGGTGCTTCCCCAGAGAGGCTCCCACGCCTGGGGCAGAAGCCCTGGTGGCTGGGCCTCAGCAGGAGGGTGGGGACCCCCCGAGGTGTCCAGACTGGCCTGGCTGGGGACAAGGAGGGCAAGGGGGCCCTGCCGGGGCACGGTCACTGCTTGCTGCCAGGGCAGTGGGCAGAGCAGGGCTGGCGGCCAGCCCAGGCCCCCGCGGCTGCCCAGGCCATGGTGCTGAGGATGAGGCCCTGCTGACACAGAGCTCTGGGCCCAAAGAGCTTCTGCCTCTGTGGCCAGGGCGGCGATGTCTCCTCAAGCAGGGCTGCTGAGTCGCTGCTGCCAAAGCAGCTCTGGACGCCACAGAAACAGCACCAGAGCGCGCACAGGAACAGCAGCAGCCCCAATGCCGGCACCTGCTCCAGGAGGCGTCTGCACCAGCCGCCATTCCAAAGGGGCCATACTCTGGGCACTATTGCGTGTGATTTAGTAAAAGGCTTCAACGCACCCGGCCACAATGGCTTTCCCTTGGCTTGCCAGCCTCACGGCAATGCTTGGCAGCTGCCGCTGCAGCCTGTGCCCCTGACTGACTACAGTGACTGTGCTTGAGGGCAGAC